GTAAAGCACTGAGTGTCTCGACGCGTGACAGGGCGTCGGCGGCCTCGTTGTTCGCTCCAAATACGTGGCGCGGATCAGTTGTATATTCTGGAATATAAGCGACGTGACGAATCTCTCGGGTCGAATGTGAGGTTCGATTACCTTGGAAGGCGAAGGTGAGGGGCTTGTTATCTGTATTGACATAGAGCACCCGGCCTTCCAGGAAGTGTCTGTAATGCCGTATTCCTGCATAGATTTCAGAGTTCGCGACCAAACGTGCTGTAACGTGTCTCCGGCGGCTTCAACTTATGTGAGAAAAAGCCTCGTGGAAACCAGTCCGTCTGGTTGTATTGTTGTAGCATGGCTCCCACTACGACATCCGAAGCGTCGACCATAAGTCTCGTGCGTGCATCTGGTAGTTGGTAGACCAGAAGTGCCGTGTCGACAAGAGCTTGCTTTGCAGTCTTGAATGACTCCTCTGTCAACGAATTCCATTCGACCGGTGATGTGGGACCTTTTGATGAGCGCAGCAGATCTGCTAAGGGCTTGAGAATTTGGGCGCAGTTGTTAATGAAGCATCGATGGAAGTTGACAAGGCCCGAAAATTCTCGCAACTTCCCACGTGACTTGGGTTGCGGAAAGTCCCTGATGGCTCCCATTTTCGAAGGTAACGGGTGAATGCTTTCGGGTGTCACTCGGTGTCCTAAGAACTCGAGCTCGGACGTTTCGAAGACACATTTCGCTGCGTTGACGACGATACCACAGTTGCGTAGCTGCCGAAAGAGTAAGCGCAGATGTTGTTTGTGCTCTTCCGGGGAACTGCTCGCGATGAGGAGGTCGTCAAGGTATGCAAACACGAAGGGTAGCCCGCGTGTCACTTCGTGTATAAATCGTTGAAATGTTTGTGCATAATTTTGAAGCCCCAAGATCATTCGCACAAACTTGAATAATCCGAAAGGCGTGGTGACAGCAGTTTTCGGAATATCAGCTGGCTCGATAGGTATGTGGTGGTAAGCTTTTACTAATTCGACCTTGCTGTAACTGGAGGCCCCGTTGAGTTGCTCTGTGAAGTCATGCATGTATGGCAGAGGGTAACGATCTGGCAAAGGAGCGGTCCGGGATCGGGGTAGGGCAATGGTTGCTGGTCAGTGGATGAGTTCGCTGATGGGTCGAGGTTCGAATCCGTCTCCGGAGGTCTCCGGGTCCCCAATTGAAGTGGCCAAGGTGTCCCTTCATTTATTTATCGGAGGTATTTGACGATGCTGCCCAGACCGGGAACCAGCCAGCTGATGGTGCAGCCGTGTAAGGCTTCCACGAGCGATCTGCACATGCGATATCTCGTGGAGCTTCTTCTTTTTCTTTTTCCCGCGCACTGGTGCGCGTCTTTTCGCGTGGCTCGCTTTCTGTGAGCCACATCGCTATTGCGGACACCTAGGCGCTGCAAGTTAGACGCAGAAGCAGGCAATTACGACAAGCAGACGAGAACCGCTCTTAAACTTCTGTCGCAGAAAGAAACGTGCTAAGGGAATACGGAAATAAAACGACCACGGGGGGAATATCCAAATAAAATGCAACATAACAAAAGCCAGCAGCCGAAGGGAGGAAAGGAGCGAGCGTTCTGATCCATCTACTTTTTCACTCAAAAACTCCAATATAAAAGCACTCTGCGGAATCCCAGCACCTGACATACACGCTTGGCCAGATTAAAGAAGCCTCGCTAAGTGTATTAGGGTGTCACAGGAGCCGCGTCTGAATTTAAGGCACCCTCTGTGTTAACCTCACGCCATTTCGTTCCCTTTAACTTTTTCTTTGTTATTTTTTTAATCTCGACCAACAATTATGCCTGCATAGTTTAATGTGTTCGTGTCCCTCAAGCTTACAACACTCTAAACTCCAAAAATTGCACCTGGAACTCGTGACCAGTGAAAACAAGCAGTCGCGTTACTCTGTCGTTAAATTGATTTCATATAATAAACTGGATGTCATCTCAAAACCTGGAGCGTGAAGACTTATGCCATTGTAACGTTACGCCGACGTGCTCGTGTGCAGAGGTCTCTTATACCTTCCGGAAGATTAAAATAAAGAGACAGTAGAGCTTCCGGGTTCTTACACTTTGGCAATGTTTGGATAATTAAAAAATAGCGCAAGGACGACGGAGGGAAGAACAAGAGACAGGAAAGAGCGCTAACTGACTGTAGTAACTAGCGATAGATGGCGCCACGTCTCCCAGCGGTGCCGCGTTTTGAGCACGAGCGCGGAGCGCGTCGAATAAAAGATCATTCGTTCGAATCTCCATGCTGGCTGATGCGTAATGCTTCCTACATGGTGGCAGCGATTTAAGCCAAACTAGTTCGTAGCGGTTCAAAGAAACGAAACAACGCTGGACAGTAGGCCCGGAGAAGGTGGAGACCGCGAAGAACGCCAAAGTGAGCGAACGGCGACCACCATGACAAGCCTACTACCGCCGCCGAAACCGCTAGACATGGCAAGCGAACCCTGGAACGCATGGAAGAAGTGGCTCATAGAATTCGAGCTGTTTGCGGTAGCAACGAACCTGATGGACCAACCTGACAAAGTGCAAGCAGCAACACTTCTCGTCTGCATCGGAGAAGAAGGTAGGCGAATTTACACTACCTTCACATTCGATAACGAGGAAGACAGAGAGAAACTCGAGGTCGTGAAGAATAAATTCGCGGCGCACATGAAGCCAGCGATCAACCTCACGTACCACGAATTCATCTTTGGGAAAAGAGACCAAAAGGAAGGTGAGAAGTTTGATGAGTGGTTGACGGAACTGAGGGTTCTTGTACGCAACTGCGAGTACGGCGACGTCAAAAAACGTATGCTAAGAAGCCGAATAATACTCGGAACTAAAGACCGACAGTTGCAGCAGAAACTGATTAACGACAATCCTACCTTTGACAAAGTCCTGGAGATATGCCGAACAAGGGAACGAACTGAAGAACAGTTCAACGAAATCCACGGAAAGGACGAGCGACACGAGGACCCACTGACAGTAAAGGCGGTAAAGGTGCTTAGAAGATCAGACCAAGCCACGTGCCACCGTTGCGGCTTTGTTCATCGCGCGAGCATGTGCCCAGCTACTGGAAAACAGTGCCTTAGTTGTGGCGAGCTAGGCCACTTTGCAAAATGCTGCAAGAGCGAGACCCACACACCAGACAGCCGTCACCGACGCCAGTCGAAAAAAGGACAAAAATTTGATCCCAAAGTACTACAAGTAGAGCGCGAGGATACGGACGACAGCGATGAAGATTATCTGCTGTGCCATTTAACCGTAGATAAGATAGAGAAAGAAGACCGATGGAGCGAGACAGTCACAATAGAAAAAGATAGCGTACGCTGCAAGCTCGACACCGGGGCTAATTGCTCAGTCATCCCAGAAAGACTGATCCGTCTAATATCAAACAAAAAAAGTCGGGAAGTGCGATACCACACTATCATCGTTTTTCGGCCACAAGAAAAAAGCATGTGGAAGAACAACACTGACAGTGTCGAATGAAGCCAGAGCTGTCCAGGAGGAGTTCTTTGTGGTCAAGGAAGAGATACCGGTGACGTTGGGAGGAGAACTGAGTGAAAAACTTGGAATGATCAAGCGTCTGGCTTCTGTGTCAAGAGAACACGAAGACACAAATGCAGCAGATACAAATCTTTGTGACCCTGCCGGACCATACGCAGACGTTTTCAGCGGACTGGGAAAGGTCAAGGGATTTGTGTACAACATGAAGGTGAAGTCAGGTTCACAAGGCGTCGTTCGCCCAGCCAGGAAGGTGCCTGTGGCACTGCAAGAAAAGGTCAAGTGCGAACTTCAAAGAATGGAGAACCAGGGAGTTCTGACAAAAGTAAAAGAACCGACAGAATGGGCCAGTTTCATGGTAGTTGTCGCAAAGAAGGACAAAGTGCGCATCTGCATGGACCCAGTTGACTTGAATCGAGCCCTGAGGAGAGAACACTACCCGATGACGACAATGGACGACATTGCCGTTCGAATCGCGGGAGCGAAAGTGTTCTCTGCGCTAGACGCATCCTCGGGATTCTGGCAGATCGAACTTGATGAAGAGAGTTCAAAGTTGTGCACCATGAGTACTCCGTATGGAAGGTACAGGTTTAAGAGAATGCCCTTCGGAATAAGCACAGCACCTGAAGTTTTTCAGCGTGTCATGAACGAAGTACTAGATGGACTCACCGGAACAGCAGTCGTGATGGACGACATATTGGTGTGGGGAAAGACTCGCCAGGAACATGACGAGAATCTGCGACACTTGCTCCAACGCTGCCGTGAAGTGAATCTACGACTTAACCCAAAGAAGGTCCAATTCGCGAAGACAGAAGTCCGCTACCTCGGACAAGTGCTGACTGGAGATGGAGTTGCTGTTGACCAAGAGAGAATCAAAGCCATACTGGAGGTCAATGAACCAAAAGATCGCAAGGAACTTCGAACATTTCTCGGAATGATCACCTACTTGTCGAGCTTCATACCACGACTTTCCGAGCGTGCGGCACCACTACGAGAACTGCTGAAAAAAGAGATTGCATGGGTATGGACGGTAGATCAACAAAGAAGTTTCGAAGACCTGCGAGACGCTTTGACGAAGGCACCAGTGCTGGCTTACTACACTGCAGAAAAGCCGATTACGCTGTCAGTCGACGCAAGCCAATACGGAGTAGGGGCCGTTATCACCCAAGACGGAAGACCAATAGCGTACTCATCGAGATTTTTGACAGCCGCACAAATGAAATATGCGCAGATCGAGAAAGAGATGCTGGCCATTGTTCATGGTTGCAGCAAGTTCCACCATTACATATTCGGCCAACCAAACGTAACAGTAGAATCCGACCACAGTCCGTTACAGGCTATTTTCATGAAACCGTTGCGTCAGTGCCCGATGAGACTGCAGCGGATGAAGATGGCTCTCCAAAGATACTCATTGGAAGTAAAATTCATACCAGGAAAAAACTTGCAGTTAGCGGACGCACTGTCACGGTTTCCCACGAAGGAAACAATGCAAGAAGAAGAAGAGAAATTTCAAGTCAATTCACTGGAGCACATATCTGTCACACAAGATCGGCTAAATGAAATAAGAGACGCAACTGCAGCCGATGTCCAGATGCGTCTACTGCGCGAGTATGCACAGACGTCATGGCCCGAGCAGAAAGAGCAAGTTCCTCAACTCGGAAGGCCATTCTGGTCCTACAGAGAGGAGATCCACGAGGAAAACGGCCTTGTGCTGCGGTCAAACAAGATAATAATTCCAACGGCCATCAGATCCAAGATTCTCAACTTGCTCCACACGGCACACGCGGGCAAAGACAAAATGAAGAGAAGAGCCCGAGAAATTTTGTTCTGGCCCGGAATCAACGCTGACATTGACCGCGAACATGACAAATGCAGCAAATGCGAGAAGTACAAATCAAGAAACGCCAAGATGCCACTCCTTAGCCACGCACTGCCAACGCTTCCTTGGCAGTTGGTCGGGACCGATTTCTTCACTCATGAAGGAAAAGACTACATAATCCTGGTGGATTTTACTCATTTTATTTTGAGGTAGAAGAAATGAAAAGTACCACAGCTTCCAAAGTCAAAGAGTTCTGCCTTAAAGTATTCGCAACACATGGACTGCCGTTGAAACTTATAAGCGACAATGGCCCACCATTTGGCAGCCAGGAGTTCAAGCAGTTCTTCGAAAACCTGAAGATAGAACAAGTTACATCAAGCCCTTACCACGCTCGATCAAACGGCATGGCTGAACGAGCCGTGAGACAGGCCAAACAAATCTTGCGAAAGAGTGCCAACACTGAAGAGTTTTACCGCTCCCTCCTTGAGTGGCGCAACACTCCACGAGACGATGTCCTCCAATCGCCAGTACAGAGACTGATGAGCCGACACACAAGAACACTGTTACCTGCGCGATCGGAACATTACCTGCCGACTGTTGTGCCACCCAAGGCTGTCACACGTCGTCTCACAGAAATAAGGCGGCAACAAAAGGCGAACTACGATAGAAGCTCAAGAACACTGCCAGACATTGACACGGGTTCTACAGTCACCGTCTACAACACCCTGCGGCGCACATGGTCACCTGCCATAGTCGTGGGACATTCAGTGCCGAGGTCCTACGACATTTTAACCCCAGGGGGTCGGGTCCACTGAAGAACCCGTGAACACTTACGAACGGCGACGGATTCTCGACGAGAGCTGACCTCCACGGGGAAAGACACAGCCTGCACGGAACAGAGCCCCAGTGACTTTAACCAGAGTCAGCCTCACCCGGGACCGCGGCCGCGAAGAGGAACAAGGAAAAGAAGGCCACCACAACGATACCCCAACCATGTTGATGGTGACGCTCTACGCTAAATTTTCCAGAGAAAAGAGATGTAGTAACTAGCGATAGATGGCGCCACGTCTCCCAGCGGTGCCGCGTTTTGAGCACGAGCGCGGAGCGCGTGGAATAAAAGATCATTCGTTCGAATCTCCATGCTGGCTGATGCGTAATGCTTCCTACACTGACAACTGGCGTTTTATTGACAAGAGAAAAGAAGACGAAGGGTCCTATCAGTGAAAGAAGAGGAAGGGTCCTATCAGTGAAAGCACAATGAAGATTCCTCGTATTGTAGAGTATTTTCAAGCGAATGATCTGAACCTACTTGTGTCAGATAAAGAAGGAGGGTTTGTTGTGACATCTAAGGTGAACTACCTAGAAAAGGAACTTTAACGCGTTGCAAGGCTTCAAAACCAAGGCACTCAAGGCTAAGGCGCTTCAATTGTGCCATAGGCTTGATATGGAGCAACTGCGCAAGCCTATCACATCTGCCAGAAGGGACCACTTAGATATGTTCTTCACGGCCATGACCCATAAGGTAGAATGTCCCTTTCGAGTGGTTGCGACCGAAAAAGGGGTCTTGGCAGGGTATGATGTCACGATTCCTTCTACGTCACCTGTCTACCCTCCAACTGGACGATCCTTTTCTGGTGCCAAACTCTGAAGCGGTAATCCAATACCTGCAACAGAATGTTACGACGGTTCACTTCGGGTTCTCTCTGGACGTTGAAGATTTGTTTTATTCTATACCTCACAACAAACTGTTTGCAGCAGTAAGTGAGTGTATCGAGGCCAATGGTTCCATATCTTTTCAAAATAAATGTGGAATCAACGTGGAATCCTTCTTAGAACTTCTGAAGTTCTACCTTTCCGCAACTGTTGTCACGTTTAATGGTAATACATATATACAAAAGAAGGGTATATGTATAGGTTCGTGCGTGGCACCTGTGTTATGTGACATTTTTTTGTCCCAATGCGACCGGGCCATTGCTAGCCCACTTAACACCGGCCAGGTGTCAGTCATATTTAGATATGTTGACGATTACCTTGTCCTCCTGAAAGACCGACCCAATGAGAATGACACCGAGGTAACCGACCGCATACGAAACACCTTCGTAGAGCAAGCACAGGGGCTCAAGTTTACGCATGAGTTGCCGGCGAACTCCTCTCTTCAGTTTCTAGATCTTCGGTTATCGCTCCTTGATGATCAAGCGTGCTGGATCTACTCTCGGAGATCAAAGAAAATGCTCTTACAATAGGACTCTGCCCATTCAAAGCTAATCAAGAGAGGGATCGTAAGGAGTTGTTTAAGTGCGTCCATCAAGAAATCATGTGAACATACAGCCGGTGAGAGTTTTAATTCCCAAATTCAAAGGCTCACGGCATCTGTATATCCTTATTCGATTCTGTTCGATGTCGCTGAATCCATGATTACGTCAAGTGGAAGACCAGCAAGAAATAACTTCAAGGGACGCCGACCGGCTGTAGTGCCATACATACACCGCATTTCCCATAACTTGAAGCGGGCGGCATCCAAGTTTGATGTACAGGTTGTGATGTCGGCTCCTGATAAACTAAGGAGGCTATGCCCAAAAATCAATAACAAGCAGGAACAAACTGCAAAATGTACTGTAAAGCAACAACACCAATATGTCACCTGCATCAGCGGTGTAGTGTACGAAATACCGTTTTCGTGTCGAAAGGTATATGTGGGACAATCCGGGCGTTGTCTAAATGTCAGGCTAAGGGAACCTGCCTTAGCGTTAAGGTCATCTCCCGCGGGACATCTTGCGGTGCATGTAAGAGACTGTCTGTGTACCCCACTCTTCGAGCACACAAAAGTCCTCAAACGGTTTTTGGGTCAGAGAAGTAGAGAACTCTTCGAAGCACACGTCATAATATCCAAGGGCGACGCCTGCGTCAGTGCTCCTTCAGTAGCCTTATCGGAAAAAGAACAGTTTTACCTCAGCCTTCATCCCTGAAGATCCTTCCTACACATTATGTTGACACTGAATTTTTCTTATTTTTTTCTTGTACTGTTTTCCTTTTTCTTTTCCTTTTTTTAATTCTTGTTTATAATTATTATTTTTTGCTTCATAATATTTAGTATATAATTACAAAAAGCTTCCTTCTGTTCCCTATCCGATCTTTTTTATCTTCCTTCTTCTTTTTCTATCTCCTTTTTTGTCTTTGATTTGCCTCACTTCTTTTCATCTTCTTTTCTCTTGTAAATAAAACGCCAGTTGTCAGTTATCGCTCTTTCCTGTCTCTTGTTCTTCCCTCCGTCGTCCTTGCGCTATTTTTTAACTATGTTTACCCAACTAGCCCATCAGATGATTTTATTGCAATGTTTGGATCTTTCCCAGAACATTTTATTTGTTGAAAAAGATGACCGCAGGCGTCACGTAAACAGATCGGCAGTTTGATACTGCCCATCTGACCCATGCTACGGATAGAAACAAAAGCCGCCCGCGCTATGGCCAAAAAAAAAAAAAAACGCGCTTTTCGTGTAAAGCTTGCCAAATTATGAGGCGCTAGAGAAAACCAGCCTTCTGTGTTCTTATTTCAAACTATTTTTTTCGTGTACCGGGACACCAATCGAAGCTGCCAAGGTGGCACTTCATTTATTTACAGGAGGTATTTGAAGGTTCCTGGTCCGGGCGGCATGCGGAATGCGCTTCACCACGCACCTCATATCGCTGCTTCGCAGTGTTCTTCCGCAGCAAAAAGGCCGTCTGCTTTTTTGCTGCAGAGAACCGAAACAAATACAACCGCGTTTGGTGGTGCTTCTTTCAACTGAGTGGAGAGGTTGGTTAGTTAATTGATTGGTTGGGTAATAAGATGAGCGTGCACGAAAAGTTACTTTACTGACATGGTTTCGCGTAAAGGTTGCGACGTGGTTAGCCAAAAAGAAACAAAAAAAAAACGCGTCTTTGATTGTTACTTTTGTGTTCATTTGTGTGGGACTGCGAGCGCGTGTATACCGCTGTTGAGTGTCATATGCCTCAATTTCCACTCTGTTCATTCAACAGAAAAACCTGGAGGCAGGGCGCATACATCACCACATTCTCCCACTGACCGCAAAAACATAGCTTTCTTGACTGTCTCGTTTCTCTTTCTCTCAGACCTGATACCCACAAAGTGTGGGTTGCTCTACAAGCAGACAAACAACGGTGTTTCTCGAGCCTGTAACACAAATTCCTATACACCTGTTCGTTCTTTCTTTTTCTAATTTCTTTTTAGTGATGTTTTTTTTTTGTTTTTTTTATACGAATATGATATTTCTTGTGAGGGTGCCCGGGCGTTACCCTAACCGAACCTGCTCTCTGCTTATGGAAATCTGATATTTAAAATTAAATAAATAAAAAAAAATCACAGCTTTAGCCGCTACGTTTTGTTAGTAGCTTTAAAATTGTCATGCGTTCTCAACCCTAGGAGGACCACGCAGCCCTTCTGTCACCGCTAAAAAAAAAATACATAAACTGAAATTATTTTGGAATATTTACGCTATTTCCTGGAAGCAATTAAGTCAGTTTTTGATCTGCATGCAATCTTTATTTTACTATGCTGCCGCAATGTACCGGCACCCGTAATGCCCTTCGAATGCCCTACGATTTGTCTTCCAAGTGGGAGTTTTAGAAAGAGAAAAATATAAGTGACCGGGGTGACTACCCGAAGCTTCCCTTTTATCCCTTACAGTGCACAAAAAAAAAAACACCTCTACCACAAAAAAAGGCCTGTTTCTCCCATTTTCAACCTGATCGTCCTGTGTCAAAAATATAATAATAGTACTAAATATAGCTTTATTTACCATGTGGGGGGGGGGGGGGGGGGGCTGAGAAAAAATCTGTCCAAGCAGCTTGACTGGTCATCAGCCCCCCTCGGGAACACACAGTGGCGAGAAAGACATTTAAATCGAACAGAAGAAGTTATGATAATACAAGGTACTTTCGTCATAAAAATGACCAACAGACAACTATCAGCAATTCATCAAACAAGAATAACACCTCCATATAAAATATATTGGGAAGCTGTACACATGAAAGGGAAATCTATCCAAAATATTCTAACATGCTTCAACACAATATATATATATATATATATACAACGGACATGGTGGCGGGAGGCCGAAGGCGTGGGTATATAACTGAGAAGAAAGAAACCCTTAGTGAAAGCAGCAACAACGGATGATATAATCTTCGACGTTTCGGCCGGACTCTGGCCGAAAC